GGTCATTAACTGCTTCCTCTTGGATTATGGGGGGTTCATTCTGCTCCCTGTCCTCCAGCTCGGGGGGCCAAGTACCCTGAGGGTAACTGGTCTGCCTGTTAAAGACTGAGGCAAAGAAGGCATTGAGTACCTCAGCCTTTTCCTCATCCTCGGTGTCATTATTTGTAAAAACATTTTTTGTTGTCTCTAATGACAGTGGCAAGATTGCGTTCTAGCTGGGCTTTTGCCTTTCTCATTTCCTCTCTGCATGACCTAACGAGATCAAATTCAGTTGGATTTATTGCTGGGGTGCAGTCAAGGTCACATGGCATTTCAGATTCCAGTGAGTGAATGCTGTTATAATCCTGCTCCTTACCATAATCAGAGTTAATAGACAATCCAAAATCAATGTCTTTGTCCCTTCTCAAGGTAAGTTCCAATTCAGTTGGATTTATTGCTGGGGTGCAGTCAAGGTCACATGGCATTTCAGATTCCAGTGAGTGAATGCTGTTATAATCCTGCTCCTTACCATAATCAGAGTTAATAGACAATCCAAAATCAATGTCTTTGTCCCTTCTCAAGGTAAGTTCCATTGGCTAGGTAACAATTCCTGGGGTTAATTGTTAACCGAAGTTTCTTCCTGATATTTTTAACCTAGGTTTCCTGCATTAGTTCCCTGCTTCTCGGGAAAAGAACATAACCACAAGAAGTATCCTAATTTTTTTTATCTTTGGATTAATTTAATATATATTCCATTTCTGCCTGTTTCTATATTGTGTAGTGGAGTTGCTAAATTAATTGTTGCCTGGGAGAACTCTGTCATTTGTCTAGTATTACTACTGAGTCTTTGTTACCTCTTAGCAAGGTCTCACTGAATTTGAGAGCACTTGTATACAACTTGATTATAACACATTTTGTTGGTAAATACTTCATGGGGATTCAAAGTCTAAATGTAGCTAATCCTATATCTATTCAGAGAATTCAACTGAAAAGTGCTCTTTAGTCTAGGATTAGTTACTACTATTTGTGGACAAGGAATCTGGTTGGTTTTGTTTGACACTGCTTACAGATTGCTTTTGCTGGTATATAATATTTCTATTCAAACAGCAAGCATTTTCATCTTTGGGGAAAAAAGAACAACAACTTATGTCTTAACCATTTTTATCTTTAATTATTGCCAAAATGGTAAAGAAATTTATTAAAGCAAGGTGTCTGGATGAATCTGTCTTTAAGATTGGATCTCCCTCTTGCATATTTTTTTAACAGTGCATCTTTGATCTTACAATGATGTCATTCTAGAGAACGTATATAGTATTAATCCTCCCTTAGTTGTTGTGGTTAACACCGAATGATGACTTCCCTGCAGGATCCAGCTGTCCACACTTTGGGAAGGAGGCTGCTTTAATATACAAGTAATCTTGGCAACACTCAAGGAAACACAAAATTATTGTGCAGCATAATTTGCATTTTATGTAAGGATTTTTCATATGAAAAACCATTAATGAGAGACTGCATTCAGTCACTAAACAGTGAATTGCAAATACTAAGAGCTTTTCTTGTGTGTTGCAGTTTGTGTATAGTAGTTGTACTTATGCTAAGCACAAAATATAGGCTGGTAGGTTCCAGGTGCATTAAATATTAGACAATATTTATTGATAAGGCATTTAAAAAAAACTATATGCATCTAGATATGTTACTTAAGATGGCTTTGAGGAGATTGATAGCTAGCTAGAGCATAGAATGATGTTAATATTAGCTCTTTTTATCATGATATTTTAAGTGCAAAATTCAAACTCCATTTATTTAGTAAATTCCCAATACAAAAAACATTGAGATATCTTAATAGTAACCAATGGTGATGATCTCAGACCTGCTTCAGTGGAGTAAGACCTGTGAAATACTCTCTGAAGAGAGAACTTCTGTTCTCTGTGTCTGATCAAAGTAAATTTGAAGGAGTAGCCTGACATAATGCTTCCACAAGTATTGAGTGAGTTTCTTTTTGGTCATGAAAACTCAATGGATAATGTCACTTGGTGCACCTTGTGTGCGCAATCTGAGAGCTCTTTTCCTTATATTGCATATACACAAACCAGTTCTACTGAAGGGTTCAACCGCTACTAATGCATAAAAGGATCAAGAGCATTTTCATAGGGTGAACCAATTGTTCTGATGGTTTTTTGGGGGATATGCCAAAGAGTCTGAAGGCATCTGTCTTAAGTAGTTTACCATTACACACTGTTCATCCAATTGTGTTATTATTTTGATTTATCTACCAGGTGAAGAATGCATAAAAAGCTTTTATTTAAAATGTAGTCACTTCTGTCCTACAGAAGCAAATTTTGTATTTAAAAATCAAAATATAAAAATATTTTGCCTACAGTATGTGTAACTTTTTTTAAAGCAGACCTAAAGTAACAGTTCAGTCCTGAGCAAGGTGGTTTTATATTCTTACCATTATTTGTGAAAACTGAACTGATTACCTGTGCCAGTTTGTACTGTGACAGACTTTACTGCAGAATCTCAACTACAATTTTAAGTACTGGGTTGTACTGTCAGAACGGAGCTGTCCTTTTGCAAATATTAGTATTTACTCTTCGTAGACTGCTGCAATCTCTTGTTTAAAAATTCAGTGGATTGGTATTCTGAACAGACTCGATAGCTAGACCCATGAGACATTTGGTGTCTACAGCACAATGGCAAAAGGTGGATTCTGTACATGTAGGTTATTTGCTCTTCATGAGTGAAAATGGCATGATCACATGAAAAAGCAAATTTGGCTCCAGTCTGGGAAGTTTGGGTTAAAGAATTTGGGTCTTTAAGTGTTAATTTCCCAGTATTTTTTTCATAATTTTTAATATTGATTAAAAGAGTTTGCTAAAATTAAGGATGCACTTGGCTGACACTGACAGAGGATACACCAAGCAGTCTGAAAGCTTTCCTTCAAGTAAGCTGTTTGCTGACTAGGCAATATGGGGGAAATTTATAGCCTGGCTGTCAAATCCTCCTTTGTAGTGTGATATACTAAACATTTCTGTTTGTACTTGCAGGCCTCTGGCTGTGATGGCACTGAGATTCCTGATGAAGTGAAACTGATTGGGTTTGCTCAGTTAAGTGTCAGCTGATGTCTGTCCCTTGACCCCAAGCCGAATTGTGAGATTGCGAAGAGGCCAGCTTAGATGCAAAGGAAAACTAATGCACCACACACTGAGTTCTGCTTCATTCTCTAGCAATTCACAAAGTCAGAACAAGCAAGGCCCACAGCTACACCGCTGCTGCTAACATTCAAAATGCTACTAAATGTCTCTTAGCAGTTGATTTGGATTCCCCCTAAGTGAAAAGCCTGTGGAAATGCACTCAGGTGGCTGTATTTATTGGTTACAAAAGGAATTTTCTATCAAGCTTACTTCTTTCATAAACTTCGAGTGATACTATTTTACCTGTACTTGTGGTTGATAATACTGCCTCTGTTCTGTTATATTTAGAAATGAACATAAATATAAAAGTTAAGAATTATTAGCCAAACTTGAATTCTAGTTTTAAAACTGACTGTGAATTTTATTTTTCATATTTATGCATTACACATCCTAGTAAGAAGAAAATTATTTGACTTGATTATGTGCTATTTGCAGTTAATCTCCCATTATTTAAAAAAGTTTCAGGTATATCTTTGAAGTATTTGGTAACTTCTAGGTTTTTTTTTTTTAAATTAATTAATTTAGGCTTTAGCAAGCTTTTGTTGGTTGTGTGTCTAAAAACCAGTCCACAAACTGATTGTCAAGGGAGTGGGAGGTGCCTTGCAGACATTAATGTTTTAAGAATGTGCCTGAGGCTGCTTAAATAAATAATCTCCATTTTCTAGAAGTACCATACATATGGTACAATATATATAAATATATATAGTTATCTGAGCAAGGAGGGGATATACAGTAGCAAAGGTGTTAGAGTATTTTGACTATGCTTTATTGGGGAGTCTATGAGCTAGAACTACTTTGAACTGTTGTCGTTACGGTAGACTGCTTACTGTGTCCATCTCTGATCCAACTTATCCTTAATGATAGAAACTGGGTTTCATACAGGTGATAAAAACTTGAAGAATGGAACTGAAGCTTTACTTGAAGTTCTGCAAAATACCAAGGTGGAGTGAAAATAAAAGGGCTTTGTGCAATGATCAAGTAAAACTCTGTTACAAAGAAAACACTTCTGACCCAAGTAGTCTTATGCTTAACCTGTGACATAGATGTTATGGAGCTAGCGAACCTTAGAAAGACTTTCAAATTTGGAGACGTGTTTGTCGGAGGTTACAATTTAAACTACTCCCTAGCTAATCCTAGATAATCGGCAGCTCTTTAATGTACTGAAAACAGCAAATATATATTATTAAGAGAAGTTATTTATAATGCCTTGTCATAATTGTTGAGGTGTTCTATAGCCATTTGCGTACGACTCAATGTAATCCCATCCCATCCTACTGTTTACATGATGATTACTCCAAGATGACTGCAAAGGTTAAAAAAATAAAAATAAAAGTGTATTGCACAAACAGATTTGTATTTTGAATTTCCATGCTCTGCATGCATTTCAATGGCTGTGTGGCAGGGTGATGTTATAAACGTCTGCTGCCCTTATTTAGTTTATGGGCAGCATCTGCGCAAGGGACCTGGTTCCTTGTGTTGGGGAGGAGAAGGGGAGAAAACACTGCTTTCTTGCTTGTGGGAGAGAGTTGCTCTTGACCTCTTGCTTTCCAGTGCTTTGCATAAGCCATTTTTAAGACTCCTAAGGTGTTTGTACTTCAAGAAATCATTCAGTTATTTGGGGCAGGACCTGTATGCCTGTGGGATGCCAGTTTGTGTGGGGAAGAGAGCGAGAGGGGCCCAAGGCAGGGCTGGGGCTGACACCTGCTGCCCCCAGCCCAGGTGTGGGGCTGGTGGCCACAGCTGAGGCTCGTTGGGGCAGTTCAGGCCCTCCTGGGGTGACTGGTGCCCTCGAGCCCATTAGTGTGGGGAGTCTCAGCCCTGGGGGAGGGTTTTGGCAGCGTGGCAGGGGCCGGGTGCTGCACTGTGGGGTGGAAGGGCCCTGTGCTCCCGTGGGGCCTGGCCTGCAGCCAGCTGAAGGCAGTGAACAAAAATGGTAAGTGTGCCTTTCCTCAGTGACAAAAATGGTGTGTCTTTCCTTAGCTTTGGGGTGTCTTTGCAGGTGCGGGTGTAGTGTTACTGATAATCTGCTTGGTATCTCTTCCACATCAACAGTATCTTATGTCAGTGCCCTATAATTGGCCATTTACCTCTTAACCTTACTTTGATTAATGCTTTGCTGTGGTCAGCTTGTGCATGCTTTGTGCCTGGCTCCCCAGGGCCGGCCGGAGGAGGAGCCGGGCAGGGGACTTGTGGCAGCCACCAGCAGCAGCATGGCAAAGGCTGTGCGTCTAGGCACCTGCCGATCTGCAGCTGGGTAGCCTCCTCCTCCTCGGCTGTGCTAGGTGAGAACAGAGGGCACTGCATGGTGTCTGATCTGGGGGCAGGCTGCCATTTGGCAGCTAACTATTCATTAGCAACCTTTGTGTTGGAGTAAGAGTAAATTAAAAGGTACCTTAAATGTGCATCTACCAGTAAAACCATTGATAACCTGCAACGCTGCAATGGGGTGGCTACTGAGCAGGACGCAAAGGAGTTAAGTTCAGAGCATTGCTGTTAGATTATTTTTGTTATGTATGTTAATGTATGCTTCTCGAAACATTGCACCAGTATTGACTAATCCACCTGCAAAGTAGTTAGCTGGTTAGCTTTCTTTTTCAGGCAAAGAAATGAACGTTCAGGGAAGCTTGTTTTTCACAGATCTATAAAAGAAGTGGGAATATATAATTGGATGAAAATCATGTTCCACTCGCTATACACCTCCCCGAAGGCTGGGGAAAAGGTGTTGGGGTATGAATAGCAACTGTCAAAAGTGCTCATCTGCTATACCAGTTGGGGCTGTAGGAGGTATCTAAATAAAGAAGAATGTAATACTTTAATTGAAGCAGTCAGCAGTATTGTACCAAGATAAAGCTGTAACAGTTGTTGCTCACTTGCAGTCTGATGCAGAAACATGCCAGTGCTTCACTGAGCTTCCTTGGTTCAGTGAGACAGCAAATTCATGCAGCAGTGTTATTTATCGCAGCTGTGTTGGTTTCCTAAATGTTTTTTTGCTGCTGCTAAGGTATTGTGAATAAATACAATGTGAGCAAAATGAGTTCAGAAGGACAATGACCTGAAAGAAAAGGTAGTTAGAGCTTTAGTGTCTGTTAAAATGTTCATAAGTAGCTCATTCTCACAGCTATATAGAGGTGAAAAAAAGGTGAAAATATACAGTAGGTTGCAGTAGAAAGTAGTGTGCAAGTGATGATAGAGTAGAAATAGACACCAAATGTAACAGGAATTTGCTCCCTGAATACTATATTCACATCCTCTGTTGAATAACAAGGGAAAAGAGATAACCAGCAACTATTCATTTATTCATGTTTACATGAAAAGCATTTAGGAGATGGGTACAGTTCTCATATGTATGACATGACTTGCCCCAAAGCAGTTGTGGTGCTCCTGTTTGAAAGGTGTTGCTGGGTAATACCTTGGGCCTGTTGCTGGCTGGAGCACCTGGCTGTGTTTGAAGGAAGAGGTCTCTAATTAATGAGGTGAAGCTAGAACAGGTGAGCTACCTTATAGCTGTCTCTGAGGCCAGGAAAATAGGGCTTAATTAGATGGTTCTAAAAATATAATCATCTGTAGTGGTGATTATATGCCAGTCTTGCAGCTGGGCACTTGAGGCTTTGTGGGCTGATGAATGTCAATGTCCATGGAGCCAGCCCTGCCAGTGCGCTCTGCTTTAGTGTGCTGAAAGTAGCTCTGTGCTGTGGACCGAGATGGAAATCGGTCGATGAAACACACTTCTGTAACTTATTATTTTCAAAGTGTTAAAAAGGATGACTATAAACATAGAATTTAACTCAGCACAACACCAGGTCTGCAGAATAACTGGTTTGTGCATGTGGGAGACATTTCCAGCCTTTTATCTCCTGGAACTCCAGTGTGGGCTTTGGGCCAGGAAAGCTGCCTCCTGCTCTGGCGACGTATGTTTTTCATACCAAGGGAACAGAGCGCATGTCTCTTTCCTCTGACAAGTGCTGACCTCAGATATTCCCACTGACACATACCGAGAGTTGCACTCAAACTGCAATGCAGCTAGCTAGTTGTGATAAGTATTTTTGCTTTCTCAAAATACTATCCTAGGTGCTACCACAATTTCCTCTATAGACCTTCCTGCCCCAGAGCACACTTCTGCTTTGTAGGTGGAAGGGGGAGCAGGGACATAAGCTAGGAAACAACATTGAATGTTCTCTCCCCCACGTTCTCTCCTGAGATAAAGATGAATGTGTGCCTTTTCAGCCACCTTGGTCTAATTTAAAATCTCCAACTTGGGGGGCTTCCAGAGCAGTCCTATAAAATTTGTTTGTGGGGTATCCCTTCAGAATGTTTTTTAAACACCGTTATTTCTCTGAGACAGAACGCTGTGTGCAGCTTGTAAATGGTGTGCCTCCCCCTTATGCTTTTCTTAGTCAGAGATTTGTTTTCCTTTTCACCACCTACGTCTGCATAATGGTGTTGGATGGTGAGATTGGCCTGTGCCTGAAATCAATTAGCTCTGATGATGAATCTGACACAGACCTAAAACACTGCTAATTGAGTGCATTGAAAAATGCTGATTTTTGTTTAGCAGGGATCAGAAGATGACCCCCGGGTTTTTTTTCAAAGCAGAAAAAAAATATGAGACCTTGTTGATAACGAATAACAATTGGTATTTTTTTTTTCTGTGGATCAATTGCGATATAACTTTATTCAGCGAATTGCTGTGGGTTTTTCCACTGCATCAAGTGGGCAGCCTTTCCACCCTCTTGCAATGTACTTGTGCATGTGCTAAGAATGCTAATTACTTTAAAATGAGAAGTTGGAAAAGCAGCAGGAGCCTACATCTTAGAGTTCCCTGTGCATGTGCTCTGCTAATGAGCTGATGGAGCAGCTGGATTTACTCAAACCACAAAAACTCCCAACAAAGTATGTTTTACTTCTGTTTTATTACACAGTGGTCCAACTGATGAAATATCCAGGCATATTAGTTGAGTATTGTGACATTTTAGTTACTCATTTGCCCTCAATGACTAAGAGTAACATTACAGTGCACATAAAAATGTGGTTTTATAGCTGCTTTATGATTGTTAGATTGATGCTCATCAAGCTGCTTGCACAGTCATTGTAATCTGAGATGTTGAACCAAACTCAGTAGTTGTGAAGTTGTCTGCTTATAATAATGTTCAGAATGTGGGCAATGGTGGATCAATGAGCAATTACAGGGACTTAGAATAGTGTATGGTAAGAAGGAGAAATATTTAATTTTCACTGCATAAACCAGTAGGGAGGCAATCTTGTCCTTTTCAGGACATGAATATTTTGCCATCTAATTTTCAAACATGAATTTGAAAGGCTGTGCTTGTTTATTGTCTCAGTAGGGTGCGGAAAATCACTTATGTAAGTGGATGCGTTTATGTAGAGGTACAGCTATGAGAAATAGAATTGGAGTAGATGGAAAATACATGCCTCTCCTTTTTTATTTTTTTTCTCATAGGTAAAATTTTAAGAATTAATGAAAACCAGCT